TTATCCTCTCTTTTACCGGCCGTAGCGCGGACTTCGGCGGCGAATTACTTTTAAAATTAAATAATAATTTTAAAACGGCTTTAAAATTCAATTAAATAATAATTCAAAGCAGTACTATTATACTTTAGGAAGGGGCGCGAATTGGGACCGGCTACCTAATTACCTTTATAGTTCGGGGATAGGCTAGAGTAAATTTAATTAAGTAGAATATATAATTAGTAGGCCGCTTCGGCCCTATTAACGTTTAAAGAAAAATTAATTAATTTAATACAATAGAAGCGGGTAGGGTTAAGACTGCCGGTATTATCGGCCACCGTAGTATAGTACTTAGTAAACTTAATATTAGAATAGCCATAATTAAACGCTAATCTCTTAGTAGAATAGAGTTTAATAATAGGGACTTTAGGGTTTATATAAATTATTATTTCTATTAATTTATTAATAGCTATTACTTCAATATTATTTGAAGCCTAGCTAATATTAGGCGAATAGGTACTAAATTTATAGAAATTAATAATAGTAAGGAATTATTATTCGATAATTTTAATTACTTTAAATATTTTCTCTACCTAAGTTTTACTAATATTTAAGGATTTAACTACTCCTTCGAAACATTAATTAATTTCAATTTACTCTTTATAAAATAATAAATCTAATTAGCTAATATTGGTATTAAGTAAGTTAATTTTCTAATTAGCCGTATTTAGGCCGCTACTTATATTTTTGATTATATTATAGATATTTTAAGAGTATTTTAAATTATTTTTAATATTAAATATAATATTATTAATATCTTTATTGAAGTAGGATATATCCTTATCTACTTTAACTTTGAAATTATCAATACGAATATTAATAAAGTTAATTTTGGCTATATTAATATTAAATTTATTTTAAATATTATTAAATTTATAACTAATATTTTAATTATAATACTTTATCCGTATAGATATAAATTAATTAATATTTTTACTAATAAGTGAATTGGGGGGTATATTTATACGAGGGTAATTATAGCCGGGCGGTATACTACCTCTAGTTCGATATAACTTTTAAACGGGGGCCGAAATATTAGTTAATAAGGTATAAAATTTAGGTAAAATAAATAAGACAATATTAAATTGAAGTAATAAGGTTAGAATTAGATTGGACAATTTCCGGAAGCTCGGAGGAGTTCTATTAATTAATATTATTAAAGGGGGTATAATAGGGGGAGGTATACTAAAGGGATTAGTCTTATCGAGGCTATTAACTAATAATAATAAGGTTAAATTATTAGGGCTATTACTAAGTCCGGCGTTTATTATACGAAAGTCCCGGTTGAATCGAAGATTGATTTACTTTATTAGGTTCTTAAATATTTTATAATAAATCGTTTTAAAGAAATTGGGAAGAAATAATACTAATTCTTTAAACGGATTTTTATTATTAAATAAATTAAGTATAGGGCTCGCTATAGTAATAGTAGTAGGTTATTAATATAAAATTAATACTATAATTATAGAACTGTATAAATATAGAATAGGGGAGAAGATTATTAAGTGAAATTACTAAAGTAAAATCGCTAGAGCGAAGGATACCTATTACGTTAAAGGATTATATCGTACGTACTAAAGTCTATAAATATAATAGCTTAGATTAGGGTAGTATAATTAAGGAAATTAGTAGTAATAATAGTACGTAAGGATTTTACTAAGAGGCTAAAGTGTAATTAAATAAAAATATAAAGGAAAGAGGTAAATAATTAAAGTAATTGAAGCGGCGATAGTTAGTAAAGGGGGGTTTAATTATAGGATTAATACTTACTAAAGAAAATTATAGGATTTAACAATCGGTTTAAATATATAAAGTATTAGAAGTAATTAAGTGAATTCCTAATAAAGGGATCGATTGATTAAGAATAGTTTAATTAACTAAATTTTTTAATTATAGTTACTAAATATTACGGTTCGCTGGGCGCTCAGAATTCTAAATATCCCTTAATATAATTAATAATATTAAAATAAGAAAATAAAATATAGAAGAAAGTTTTATAGCCATTAGCCGGCCTAGATAAGGATCCTTTTATATAAGGACCCTAGTTTTGGGTAGGGGTCCACCCTAATTTACAAGGGTAGGTCCCACTTCCCGCGAACCGCCTACTAATAACAGTCGGTTAGTATATACCCGACCGTAGTATTGGGCGTGCCTCGGCCGTAGTACCGGACTGGGTGTAGCTTAATTGAGTTGTATGCCAATCTAGCACCCTATTCCATAGCTAATCGTACATATCCGGTAATAGGGAGATAAAAGTAATAAGAGTGTCTTTTACTATAGAATTATTACCTTTATTCGGCGGTTAATATATACTAAAAGCGACTATATTTAGTATATAAAATGCAATTAGACTTTACCACGTACTTATTTTTGAAGTTAATTTTTTCTAAGTCTCTATAATAGTTCTTCCAAATAAGAATTCTATACTTGAATTTTTCTAGAATTTCAGAAAAAGGTTTCGTAGTAGAATAGCTGACTGAAGTCTTTGCTAACACTTTTCTATAGGAAACGCTAAGATTCCTGATGTCCCAACTTAAAATACTGTCCCAACTTTTCGGCTCCCCCTACATTCCATGTAGGGGGGAAAGAAAGCCTTGGCGCCCAGAACCCCCCAAGTAGTACATAATGCAGGACTGGAATCATGAGTGCGCTAGCGCATCCGCGTCGCGATTCCACTTTACGCGTGAATAAGTACTAGTTAACCGCGTCTCGCTCACCAACCTGAAGACCCCTGTCCCAGCCTTCTTGTCTTGGCTCTCTGCTACCTCGCACTTCGTCAAAATCCACTTGCTCCAGTATTTTGTTGCTGCAACATTATCCAAACAATGGTTTCCGGTGCCAGCCTTCAAGCTACAAAACTTATCTCCACCTTACCGTTATACCACAGCAACATTCATCTCTATTTTCTCCGTCAAAGAGCTCATAGCGAAACATCAACATAATCGACGACAACATCCTCAATCATGCCCGGCGCGACTTCCCGCAACACGCGCTCCGCCCGTGGGAAGCTTAACCCGAGTGAACAAGCTCATCCTCCCGATCTTGGCGACTTCGCCCGTCTTGCCAAAATCCAACAGAGCCCCAGCAAAGACAGCACTCTGAAGAAGCGCGCCCAAGCCGAAACGACCCGTACTTCCTCGATAGAGATTGTTCTCAGTTCAAGAAAGAGAAAAGTCACCGATGACTCTGATCTCGAGTCTTCGCCAACCATCTCCAAGAAACTCCGCCAGAAGAGCGATGACACAAAGGACAACGAGAACATTGCTCCTTGCGAGACTCCCTGCAGGAGGAAGAAGACCGTAAGGTTTGAGGACACCGCGTCTGTCAAGATCGAGCACAATAACGGAAACAAGAAGCTGGACTTCAGAGCCATACCGAACTTCTCTGCGCCAGCCGTCTCCGTGAATCGAAAGCGGCGGTTGCTCGAGGGAGACGACGAGCCCTTACACAAGAATAATCACGATGCCGCAGAAGCCGAGTTACTATTGGAACGCCTGGCTCTCCAGTCACCAGCGAAGAGAAGGTCGAAACATCATGTTGGCGAAAGCAGTGAGCACGACCTCCCGCGAGAGCTCGTCCAGCTGCTTGACCTCCAAGCCGCATTTCTCAAGACTTACACTATGCAACTGGCTCATAACGGCTCCAACTTGCCGGTCGATCTGCGCACACTTTTGCCCAGTGTCACCCGAACCTGGGGCAAGCGCAAGGTGACGATCGAGGATATCCAGCGCTACATCGGCGTTCTGAACTGGGTATCCTCATCCTCAAAGCCCACCACCACCACAGCAACCACCTCACCTTCGAAAGCCCCTTTCTACCTCTCCGACTATGGTCGCGGCAAGATCTGCATCGAGCTACACGAAAGCCATTCAGGCCCTCTCCTGGAACACAAGCTGAACATGGACTTCGAGTCCAACCTCCGGGCTCTCTGGCACTCGCGCCGACCAGGCCAAGTCGCCTCTCTCTTCCTCAGCACGCTTCCGCAAGCACCGATCAAGGCCTGTGCCTCGGCCATCAAAGCCGCCTCCCTCTCAAACAAGAACCAGCGTACCCTCGAAGAACTCAAGAATGGCGTCGTCCGCAAGCAACAATTGCAACAAGAAAAGCAGCAGCAGCCCACAACCTCTGCCCCTTCCCTCAAACCCGACAGCACCAAACTCTCCCTTCTCGACCGTATCCGTTTCAAAGAGAATCAGGCCGCCCTCGCCGCTTTGAGCGGTCCCTCGGCCGCCGAGATCCAGCGCCGTGCGGCGCTACAGCGCGCAGAGGACGTGGCGGCCGTGATCGGGATGCTCTGCACGGCCACGGGCGCACAGGCGCGCATGGCGTTTACCATGACGGCGCTGCTGGTCAAGCTCAAGGATTCGCTGCGGACGCCGATCTCGCAGGAGGACGCGGCGGGGTGCGTGCGGCTGTTGGCGAGTGAGGTGGCGCCGCAATGGCTGAAAATCGTGACAGTGGGCGGAAGGGAGAATGTTGTGGTGCAAACGGCGTTGCAGCCGAGTAAGATGGAGGTTGGGCAAATGGTTAAGGTTCTGTTAGGTTAGACGCGCAGTAAACTGCGAGGAACGTGGGCGACGCTCATGATGAAGAACGAGGAAATGATTTTACGACAAAAGGTCTGGTATTGCAAGGAAGAAGAGCCGTTAAAGACTTAAAGCATGTAGTAGTGTTAAGGAGTTTTGGAGTTTGCTTGGCTGCTCAATATATACCCGTATTGTATCCTTTTGGGCTCTGAGACATGGAGCATTCGGTGTTCCCAAATGGCACAATTTTGAGAGAGATTGACATGCATGGCGTTGAATCAATTGAACCACTGCACTAAGCAAAACATGTATGGCATAGACGAGACAGACACAGCGTAGTGTAGACTGATTGAAGACGAATTTAAAGGAAAAAATAGGGGGTCTATTTCATCCCAACGTCTATCGCAGAACAAAGGACCCGTGATATCTTTCAGCAAACGCCTTCCCTCCGAGAAAGCAATATAAGCAATCCCTTCCAAAAGTGCAAGACACCTTCGCTGAATGTAGATGTATGCAAATAAAAAACCAGGTCATCGGCGCATATTCTTATGATGTTGTGCCCTTTAACCCTCCCTCCTCATCATCATCCATCATGCAGGCAACAGGATCCGTCTTGTTGCGTTCATGCCACCCCTCTTTCCGCCCTTTGATTACAATTGTGTAGTAACAACGCTCCCCGGGGCACCAGCCCCAGTCAAGCGCGGGGGGTTTGCCGCGAATCAGGATACAGTCCCGTGTTGGCTAAACATGGCCTCGGTACCGCCACCTGGAGGGGCAAACACCCCTATGCGAGAGATGGTTCCATCAAAAGAAACACGCTCACTTCTTCTCCTTCTTCTCGAACTTGGGCTTGCCGATGTCGGAACCGCGAAGCTTGACATTGAGGACACGCTCGAGGTTGCCGAGGAGCTTCTGGTCGGGGACACCCTCACCGCGCTCATATTGGGCAATAATAGCCTGGGTAGAGTTGCAGCGAGTGGCGAGTTCCTTCTGGGTCATGGCCTTGTCGCCGATCATGATGGCGCTGCGAGCCTTCTGGATGGCGGCACCGACCTCTTTGCTGACGGTCTTGGGCTTGACGATGTCGTCGGAGCGGTCAACCATTGTTAGGCGCTGGCCCTCAACACCGGGCTTGGAAGCCTGTGGGGAAACAGACCAGTTAGTATTGGCGACGATGATGTTTGCAACGCAGCTAGCGTGACTGCGAACCAGGGAGGATGGGAACATGAGGCACATACAGTGTTACCGGCAGCATACTTCTTCTCAGTGGCGATGATACTCCCACTGCGCTGAGCAGCGTTAAGGGCAGACTTGCCGCGGACAACAGTCTCGCGGGGCCCAGCACCACCGCGGCTGACGTTCTTGCCGATCTTGACGGCGTCGGTATCCCAGGCAGACATTGTGATTGAGTTTATTTGGTTGTCGGTAGATGTGGTTGAAAGGGCTGAAGTTCTTGTCAAAGTGGGAATTGTAGTCGTGATTACAGAGTACGCGAGAAAAGGAAGAGGATTGCTGAGTGACGATGGTGGGGTGGCTGTTGCGTCTTGAGAAATATAAATGGAAGTTGTCAGGTGGAGAGGCAGGAGTGGATTCAGGGAATTCAGGGCCCTTATGTCCTACGTAGCGGCAAACGTGACCGTTGGTTTTGATGATGGAAAATGGGGAGGAAAGAATGGATTATGAGTTCTGTTGCTCGCCAGTTGATTCAGATACTGTTTATAGATAGCAAGGAGAGCGAGAGCGAGGCAAAGTTGACAAAGAAATTTATTAGTATTGCAACTTGTCTTTTGTCAGCTGTGATCACTGTATCAGCCACTCGATACCCGCCGGTGAGGCTGTCCCGCTCGCCGAAACATGCGATACGTGGATGGAATGCGATGGGCTGCCGTCGAACATTGGCACGGCCGGCGGCACTGGCTGCGATGGCGAGTGATGACTCGAACGGCCAGAGGTCCAGAGCGAGTTCCCCCGCCACATTGGGGCTGATTTGTGACTTCCAAGAAGCTCTCATTGGCCAGATTTGCCTCTTCGTGCACGAAGTGGAGAGGCCTGGGGCCCGCGCACAGTGACCGACGCGACGACTGCTTCTCCTTTCGGCGGGTTTTGCGGCAGGAACCATGACGCTCTAGAGTGGATCCTTCGTTGCCTTCACTCCCCTCAGGCCATCGTGATCTAGTCAGATCCTCATCCCAATGTGGAACTTGAAGAACAATGGCGATGGATGCTCCGTCCGGCGTGGTTCACACATCGCGAAAACAATCAGTCCGTGACATCGGTGCCCTTATTGTCTCACTGCGATACTCCACGGTTGTCCGCTTTTGTCATTCGGATAAGGACATGAAATTCACAAGTCTAAGTGGAAACGTGAGTGCGTCCATGAAATCGAAGAACAGGTGGAGACTTCACCAGTTCAGACCTACTGCCCGGACCCGACTGGACATTGAGCAGCTGAACAGTCGAGGTGCCTGAATTGACTTCGGGCGCTTGTTCCTTAGCTCCCTTTTCCCCACAAATCAAGACCTGTGATAGGTAAAGTCAAGCTCACGATTATCTACGACAAAGAGGTTTGGATGGAATTTCCATCCAAACCCCTCTCTCTGCCTGTTGCGCCTTCTCTTGCCAATTAACCGGCGTTCGTCGCTCCTTCCGCGGGGAAGAAACTGAAGTCAACCGCGTGGCAGGTCGACGTGGTCTAGATCAGTTTGCGTTAGTCACATATCACTATTGTGAAGGTGGTGAGATGGGTCAATAGAAGGTGTAGACGGCAAGATGGATGGATGGCGCTTATTGTGAGTGTCCATCAAGGTCCTCATGCGGAGCGACGCCGACCTAATATTTAAGTTCCTCCGTTCTCCCTCACCATCAGGCTTCCATTCTCATTTAACCAAAGAGTGGAAGTAGGTAGGTATTTACACACTCCCGTCAGGGACCCAATTTCATTTCGACCTTCCCAGGCAGGCGGGCACCTGCATTTCTTTCATTCCTTCAGCTCTTATTTCTCCTATGAATGGCCTATGTGGGACAGCCGTAGTCGGCTCTCTCGTCAACTACGTCGGCTTTCTTACTCTCTACGCCGGTTTCTTTGATGCGACGCTGCTGGTCTTTTTCATTCTCGTTCGCAATGGCTTCTTCGGCGAAACCACACTCGAGATATATGCAAGAGCTGCGAAAATCTTGGCCGTCGTCACAATCGTTTTCCTTCTTTTTCAGCTCCTCCAGCTCCTCCAGCTCTTCCGACTTCGATGGACAAGTGTCGAAATTCCAAAATGGGACGGAGCTGGACAAATTCTTCTTCTGCCATGTCGCACGACGCATACGAGACTTAGCCCGAAAAGCCACACATTCTCCTACGCCTATCTTGTCGTTGGAGTTCCTGTCGGCTACCGAGGTAACGCAGCCAACATGGTTTCGGTCGGAGTCAAACAAATATCGGATTGGACCTCATGGTTCTCGTCATCGTCACGGCTGCAAAAGGGATGGTTCGACGTGGATGCCTCTGACTATCTGCAACGCCAGAGCGGGGAGCTGACCCTGCGTGGGAAGCTCGATAGTTACCTTCAAACTCAGGTATGCAAACTTGCACTCTCCCTGCGAGGTATTCGTTAACCCACATAGGGAGTTGATCCGGCAACATACCCTCATGCCTACTTGGTTACAGCAGCTCGATTCCTCTGTTATCATTTCAACCCCGTTTCCTTCTGGTACCTCTACGATTCGCACAAATCACTAGCCGCCATGATCCTGGAAGTGAACAATACCTTCGGTGAACGACACATGTACTTCTTGAAAAGGAATCATCAATCGAGTTGCTTGAACTATCACCTGCAAAGCAACCCGGCGGATTATGAGAAGCAGACCGCGGGCGCGATAAATGAGCAGGCCAATGGAATTCCCTTCACACAAGCATGGCCAAAGGTCTTCCATGTGTCGCCGTTCAACTCACGCCAAGGATATTATTCCATGACAGCCACCGACCCCTTGAGCCCACGCAACGATGGAAAACCCATAGTCAATGTCACTATAAGACTTTCAACGTCGGAAGGCCACGACAAATTGGTGGCAAGCCTTCACCATGAGGGCCCGGCCATTGACCCGTTTTCCATGACCACTTACCAAAAAGCCAGATTCATAGGATCCTGGGGATGGGTAGGCTTTGCCACTGCCCCTCGTATCCTCTTTCAAGCTCACGCGCTGTTCTTCTACCGCCAACTTCATATTTGGTTTCGTCCGGAGCCTTCCAAGGGGACCATCGCTCGGAACGCCAATCCCATTGAGTCGCAACTAGAGAAGATTTTCCGAAGATTTTTGCGACATCTGGTTGAAAAGGCGACCATTCCTCTTGAGGTCAGCTACATCGCCAGCGGAATAGCCCATGTCACTGAAAGGATGCTCTCTCCTGAGGCCGCTGACGGCAAGCGCAGCATTGAGAGGCTTGAGTTCAAGGTCCTTACGCCTGCATTCTACTCGAGATTTGTGTACTATGCACACGACATCGAGGCCTTCTTCGGTGAGATGAACGAAAACTGCACCATATGGTTGTCCAACCCAAAAGTCTTACCCGCGCTGGCTCTGCGGAAAACATTTCCGCCACCGCTGAGCATCTCAAATCCCTGGGAATTCTTGGCCTTCAAGTGCATCCAACGCCTGCGAAGACGACCCGACTCCATCGAGAGGCCACTGACTTCGAACGCAGTCCCACGTACAAGACAAGCAGCAATTGATATCCGGAATTTCCGTCCTTCGTTCATGGATGCCTACGTCTTGACACACGAGGATCCTGCCACTAAAGCCGCGTATAAGGAGTGCGTCTTAAAACTGTTCTTGGCGGACAGGATTGCATTCGGATATGTATCAGTTCTCGAAGTCCAGCGATTTGTGGCATTGGCGTGGTTCGCATGGATGCTCGCATGGCCCCCTTGGCGTGGCAGTTGCTAACAGAGATCTATTGTCGAGAGGGCGCCGTGCTGAATCTGCGGGCGATAAGGGGAATAGAGGGCATCCATCTTATGGTCGGGAAGAATGATTTGGGGTTGTGATGGTGTACTTGACGGATGCTGGAATCGTCGCTGGGACTGATGGTGCGCCTCTTCGGCACCGAATCTTTGGCTTGCTGTCGAAGGTGAGGAAGAGGTTATCATGTTTCCAAAAGCACCACTGTCAAAGCTAAGTGCAGCAGACATTGCTAACATTTGCGGTCAGTATTCTGGATGTTTGGGAATCAATGACTAACCGACAGGCTACTCCTTCCAGCTTGGAGCTTGATAGGTGCCAGCAATTGACCATGGGAATTGACAGACCGTTCCACCATTCGGAGTTTTGGTTCGTACAAAGTCCATCAAGGCGGAGTTCTGGTTCCATAGCCCGACGCCGAGTATGTGAGATATGGAGGGTATCTGGATTTCGAGTAGCGACAACTCCACTGTATTACTTTGTTGCGTGGGATTACAGCCCTCGGAAGCAAGGTAAGCGTAGCAGAGAGGTGCCGGTTACACTGACCAGACTCGAAGCTGAATGTTATCAATTCCAAATCATGATGCGGGAAACACAGTGTTTCGGCATTTATGCTTGCGCATCCCCCCTGTATTAACAGCCAGCTAAGAGTAAGCAGTCTCCGGCTGTGGAGCTCCGTTTACCGGCATCCCCAACGCGGGGTTCAAAGCAGGACAATGACAAATTCTGTCGGTCAGACTCGGTCAAGCTCAACAGCCTTGCGAGCTTCCAAATACTCCAGATAATGCATTACCTTGACACATATTGGAACTTGGTTTCGGGATCATCGCCATTTTGCGTTACATCGGGCCGTGGTTCATTCATCGCGGAAGTCCTGGTTTCTTGAGGTTCACAGCGAACTCTCTCATATCCCGGAAAGGCCCTCATTCCTTCACCCCACTGCCGCAGGTGCTGTGCCTCCTTGTCTTCACTTTGTCCTGTCGATAAAGGATATCTGAGGCAGCTAACGCCGCTTCCATCATCTAGTACACCGGATGACATACACGTATATCAAGGGACCTCGATTGCTGTCATTAGAGGTTGGGTAGCTACGTGGATGCTGTTTGGGACCTGTTTAGCAAATGAAGCTTTGAAGCATTCGGAGACTATGTACACTACAACCTTCGTTGACGACCTGGCGAATCTGTCATAATGCCTCCGCTAACACCTACCCCGTATGCACCTAGTGATTCCTAGGCGACCAACCGAAACCTCAAATGTCAGCCAAAGTCCCATATCTGTGTACTTTTGTGTTAGCTTCGGGAATATTCTGAGGATCTCAATGGCCGGACGATCATGTACAGATTACTGACATACAGGCCAAGTCAACCCACCCGGGCAACGGCAACCCCTATTAACCCATGGATAATCGTCAAATCGGTATCCGGAACCTCCCACATGATAGCCCCGCTGCTACTCACCCAGCAGGTGATATTCATATCCAGCCTCGTAGGAGCTCACCGTCAACTTGCTGTGTTGGGTGGTGACGGAGTGGGGTTTGAGAACCTGGTTGTAGCAGTAAGATTACCATGCGTGCAGCGTGGAACCGATCCATCTGTTTTTGAGGCGCGTATGCCAACTCCAGACTTCGGACGGCGAAGGTGTAAGATGGATGGAGCTTCGGGCTTTGATTACGGAGACCATGATTTGAGTTTCCCTGATTGATACCTAGGGCGGGGAGCATTGGAGAGCGCTTTGTGCATACGTACCTACCACGTATGCCATGCTCCAGTTTCTATAAAGACTAAGTGGACTCCTATCTGGAACTCAGTTCTTCATCCATCAGCTTCCTATATAACCTCACCAGCTCTACCCATTCCCTTGTTCTCAACTCTCTCGTTCGGACATCTTCCTCAACTCAAAGCCTTTTAATTTTTCCAACTCAAACCCCCCACACCCGCCAACATGCCTCTCACCGGTCACTGCCTTTGCAAGGCTGTCACTTACACCGTCAAGGACACCGAAGAGCCCCTCCTCACTGCCTATGATCACTGCGATGACTGCCAGCGTCAGTCCGGCTCTACCTACTGTAAGTCTGACTTCCAAAATTAAACTTCCTTCGGGAGGCTTCTCCGAGAATAAGAGGTGGAAAGAAGCGCTCTGATAGCAGTCTTTCTTTTCACCACCGAACTCGGGGTAGTTCCTCAATGGAGCCAGCTCCTTCTACCCCGCCCCACCCCCGCAATGTCTCAACAAGAATCTACATCATTGTTCTGCAGCTGCAGCACAGGGCTTCCACTGGTCCCAGCTGTGCCAACTTGGTAGCTCCAGCTAGAGCTCCATGGTGAATGGCCGCTAGAATTACCTACCCCTGGCACTGAACCCGAACCCTGATATAATCCCGTCCCCTTTTTTTTCCTTCGCACTTGCCATGACGGCCAGACTGAGAAATAAGCACGAAAATACTGACGTAATAAACAGCCCTCGTTGCCGTAGTCCTCAAGGACAAGCTCGAGGTCAACGGTCCCGTCAAGAAGTGGAAGGGTACCGCCGACTCCGGCAACGCCGTCTGGCGCTGGTTCTGCGAGGAGTGCGGCTCTCCCATCGCCCACGATCCCGAGGCTGCTCCTGAGATCATTGCCCTCAAGGGTGGTTCGCTGTCGACTGAGATCAAGAAGACTCTCAAGCCTGTGCGTTTCCCTTTTTCACTTTTTTTTTTTTTTTTTTTTTTTTTTTCTTGCTTCTCCTTTGAGATTAGTTGGCATACAAAATCACATAACTGACTAACAATGACAATATAGGACACCGAGATCTGGACCAAGAGCAAGCTCCCCTTCTGCCAGGAGCACTTGGCGAAGCCCTTCGAGGGCATGCCCCAGTAAATGGAGTGGCTCGGGGCTTTGTTTATCAGTGAATCAGATCCATGGGGGGGGGGGGGGGGGGGGGGGGGGCGTTTGAAAGATGTGAGAAATGAGATACCTTGGGCGAGCGATCGGTTTTGGGATAGCATACTAGATCTCGGAACCGAGGATGGTGACGGCGGCGGCGGCGTAGATTATGAATTGAAATTCAAGCACATATGAAAAGAAAACTTTGTACAAGGTTTTGGTGTACAAAGAGAAGTGATGATGATGAACATAGTGATGGGCAAGTTAAGTATGTACTATAAGTGAATATGCGGTGAGCCAATTCCCACCACGAAGCATGGAGAAAATATGGAAACAGACTCTGATATTGGTCGCTCTTGCATCTTCATGTCCCTTTTCTTACTGCCAATAGCTTGGTGACTCTTCAGAGGAGGTGAATGCATCATATAACTGTGAGTTTCGTAATGAATAGTCTGACATGGCCTCAGTCGTTATTCAAAGAGATGACGCACATCATCCGTCCCCACCGGGGTTCCCCCGTTTCGTCTCATCATTATTATTATCATCATCAAATCCTTTTATTCCACATGAAGTATCACAGCAACCGCCATCGCAGCAGCAACACCAAAGATACCCGTGATATCGGCCTTTATTCCTGCAGCACCATTATGCTTCGAGGAGGTTTCAGCAGCCACGCTGCTAGCACCGCTAGCCGATGAGCTCGTGGTTACGGTACAAGGTCCTCTAGTAGTACTAGTGGTCTTCCCATCGTTGTTATCACCACCATCCCCACCCGAATTCGTAGTCTGCGGCGCTAACGGCGCATCAGTAGCAGTAGCACTCAACGCCGAGCCCGTGATTTTCCCGGGACCCTGGCTGATCGTGGTAGTCATGTAGTAGCTGATGTCCGTCTTGCTCACGGCTTGGTCGCTGCTGACGGTGGCGCCGTCAGTCGGCTCCGGGACCTCGTAGGCCACGCTGGTGAAAATATCGGCGAAGATGGCCGTCGGGGTGGCCCGCGCGTCGCACAGAATGGCTTCCACGGAGGAGAGCACCTCGGTGTAGCGCTTGACGTCACGCTCGGAGCGCAGGCCGTGGACGTTGAGACATTGTTGGCAGAAGGGCCATTCGGTGAAGAAGGAGCCGCCGCACATGCCTTTGGAAATCAAGATCGAATTGTCAGTTGGTTGTCATGTGTACCTATCAACTATGGTCGAACGAGGTCGCTTACATTGCTTATGAGCCTCCAGAGCAATGGGTGAGGTTCCGTTGGGGGCGCACTGGTACTCGATGTTCTCGAGACTGCTGCATGGAGGAATGGTGTTGTCGGATCCCTCCTTTACCGGAGGCCGGCAGACGGTGTTTTCGTAACCATCGTCGGCGCGCGCAAACAGAGAACCCACGACGGAGTTTGCGCTAGGGTGTGCGCTCACCAGCGGCACGGCGAGAAGAAGTGCAGGAAGCACAGAGGGAATGGAAGAGGACCGCATTGTTGCATAGAAGGCGTATACTAGCCACTTAATACGAGGTTTACGACGTTGGAAGAGAACATTGAGAACGCGTGCAGGGAAAGATTGAGGTGTGTAGAGAGACTGATCAAACGGCAGCGCCTCCCATACACTTAATCACTTATTCCCATGAATCACCCCATGCTTTGTCTCGTTTGGTCTCTCCAGGCACCGACGTTGTCCGGGGGCATTCCAGTCCCAATATACTTTGATAAGAGGTACCAGGACGGTTCCCTTGACCATCTTAGGTCTGGTCCATGAATCTTGGCAGGGCTGTTAACACCTTCCCCAAGTTTTCAGTGCTCTGCAGAAGTCGACCTAGAGGTAGATATTCACAGGCATCTGAGCCCAGGGCAGAACCGTGCAGGGAGACCTCTGGATAAGATTATAAAGGGAAGTACTTCATTGTGATGCGGAACGTTCGATGTGCTGGTTGTGCCTTCTCCAACACATTGGCCACCTTCCTTTCAGCGCGGGGAGGGCCTCGATTCCACGTCGGTGAGAAAGAGCGACCCATCCGTATATGCAGAAAAGGTGACGGAAGGATTTCGACCTATTGCTAAGTAATGTTAACTGAACCGTACAACTAAGGCTTTCTTGTATCCAACGTGCAACATCACTCAACCACACCTCTTGGCGCAAATCGACCGAGGCCCAGATGGTATCGTAAAAGTGCTGGCATTTCGAACAGAAATTTTCAGCTTCTTCACATCAACGTACATCTAACTTCTCAAGGACATGGGTGACGATAGCCAAAGCTCAGAACCGCCGTACAACGCGATGGTGTAGCGAAACGCTGTATGAAACCTTGTGTTGCTACCACCGACCGACCAACTCGCCTCACTTTCCTCTTTGGGACTTGGGTTGCTTTTGGCTCTCTCTCGCCGCCCGAGACTGAGACGTTTCTTACCATCGGTGGCTTCACAGAGAGGACACACACCACTGTCACCCCCACTGTCAGCAAGGACAACAACGGCGATGTTCAGAACGCTGGGTTTCCAAATTCCCACTGTTTATATGTCGTGCGTTCAGTCCAAAGGTCTGGCCCGCTGTGCCACCGGGAAGATTTTGCCCGTGGTAGACTTGCACGGCACGTTGGTTGGGAATAATGGAACCTTGACAGTTGGGTAGCCCCCGGGTCCTTCAGGTCACCATCCCTCGGCGCGCTTACAAGGACGGGATTTGGCAGACGACCACGGCTTTTTTTTTTTCTTTGTCAACTGGCGCAAGTACAATGCTGACAGGCCCTGAAAATTTTACGCAGTCAAGCAGCCGTTCGCCATCTGTCTTCTTTGCTTGCGTCGCAGTCCCATCTGTCCACCAGCCTCCAAACCGTTGCTGCCGTTGTCGCTCGTTCCCTTCTGAGAGTCATGGTGTAGGGCTGTTCTCTTCAGGTACCCACACACCACCGACGATCTCAGGGTATAGCCAGACTAGTATAGCCCATCCTTGATCATGATGGAGGCTTCCATCCAACTCCACGTCCTGGCCATGCTCGTCTGGCTCATACCGGCCATCGTCACCGTTGCCGCTTATGAGAACTTTCAAGCCGTAGAAACAGGCGTTTTGTTGTCTCCTCGATACTTCCAGGAATACGCTGCTTCGAACGCCAGTCCGCTGGAGAAGCGACAGGGCCAGCTGCAATGTCCTAATGACCAACACTCGTGTATGAGCTACCCATGGTGGATCTTAAATGGCTACAATGGCTGACGAGGTGATGTTGTATCATGTTTAGGCCTCGAAATCGGAAACGACGGTGGTAGCTTCTGCTGTGGGAACGACCAGTTGTATGTGATTCTTGCTTCTACTTCGACAGCCATCTGGTTGCATACATTGGCTGTTGATATTGTTGCGCCAATGCCTCCCGCCCATTTTCTTTGATCCCCCCTCTGATGATGCCGATGCTAATCAACCAATCCTCAACAGTTGTCAGGCCAATTCGACTGCTTTGACTAAGGCAGCATGTTGCGCCATCGGTTCCAACTGCGGTTCTCCCTGCACGTCAGACATGACGTTATGCGCCGCCACAAGAACCATAACAACAGGCGATAACCCATCGGTGACTCTCCTGTCAGCTTGTTGCGCGCGGCAATGCAGCGTTTCCTTCTACCTCTGCCCGAAATCCCTCGGGGGTAGCTGCTGCCCATATGGCCAGGCTTGCGCCGAAGGCGGCAAGTGTATCGCGACCATCACGCCCTCGTCCTCCATCAGCACACTAGTCCCTCTGGTCCCTTCAGGCTGCACAACCAGCCAGACCTCCTGCGACGCCAGCATAGGCGGAGGGTGCTGTGATCTCACTCAGAGCTGCACCCAAATTACCGGCAAAGCATTTTGCGCCGAACGCGCTGCCTTTCCGACCATCAGCGGCATTGCCGAGTTCCACCCTGATCACGATCTGAGCGCGGGGGCCAAAGCCGGTATTGCCATTGGCGTGGTGGTCGGCTTTGGCTTGCTTATCGGCATCTTGACATGGTGGTGTCTGCGATCCCGTAGGCGCAGAAGGGCAAGTGAAGCGAGCGGCACGGTCCCTAGTTTCTCGCGCCGCTCAGGACCCAGTAGAATCATCGGCGCCATCATCGGTGGAGGAGGGAGAGAACAGCAACCCATGTCGGAAGTCACGTCCGATGTCCAGTCCCGGTCTGGTGGGACTCAAGACTATTTCGGCCCCGAGGCGGCGGTCGGGCCTTACTCTGATTCTAGGTTGCCATCGACGGGTACTACGCCTGGTATAGACAGAGACAGGGGCGTTCCGCTCCAGCCGCATGGTCCGGGTGATATTGCCGTGCCAGTCGAAATTGACTCGAGGATGATGACCGAGCAAGAAAATCAAGGGCTCGGGGCCACAGCGTCACCGACGACGCATCAAGCCTCGGAGACTGGGCAGCCCGCAGGTAACCAAGAAGAAGGTGGAGACCGGTATGAGCTGTACGGATCTGAGCCGTTGGATATGGAAGGAGGATCGGTATCACCGCTGTATACGCCCTCGCCGCATACGCAAACCGTGCGGACGCCGTCTCAGGAGGCGCCGAAGCCGGTGAAGTTGCTTTGAATTGCTTTTTGGCTTGGAAGAGTGTTGGCAAGTAGCAAATTGGGTTGAGTGAGTTAGAGAACTATTAACATGAAGAATCAATGCATGATTGATGACAAATTCGAGACCACTTATATGCATCCTAGGTTTTGCGGGAAGGCGGTGATTGATGCGAAAAAGGGTTGCCTTTGCAATTAATCACCAAGAACCTTTCAGTCAGTCAAGGGAAGAAGTAGAAGGGGGGAAAAAAACAAGGGTTTCAAATTCGCTATGCTTGATGGCTTACTTGCTTTCCTGCGTTTCATTGATATGACCCAAACGAGATATCCCCAAAAACACCACCAGAAATATTCCAGAACAAATGCCATGTGGTTGAGCACCATGTTGTCCTTGACTGATCCATGCCAGGCCACATCGCTCGTTGGACGATAGGACCAGAGAGGAGAATTATTACCCATACATTCAATCCTCATGGACATCCGAACAAGAAATTGGCAAACCAAAACATGAAAAGGGTGCGTATGACAAAGACAAAGAACCACCACATTCACTCCTTCTTCCCATTCTTCTGCGCCACATTCTCCTCCTGATGAAGCATGATGCGATCCAAAATCTTATGAATCCCCCCACTTTTCCCCCTCCCATCATCGATATCCTCCGTCATCTGCCTCGCCCTATCCACCAGCACCTTGATGACCTTGCGCGTGTACTCAAAGCTGCCTGTGCTCTCCATATACGCCACCGCGTACCTTTTCACCTCCTCATCCCCCGTCTTCTGCTTCAAGATGTTGAGCAGCTGCATGTTGCTCGGGTTCGACCGGATGCTGTGGATCACGGGGAAACTGAACTTGCCCTCCGTCAGGTCCTCGCACATGCCCTTGTTGGCCGTGTACTCGCGGTTCCACAGATTATGATAATCGTCGGCGATCTGGAAGATCAGTCCGATGATGTTGACGAGCGGGACGCAGTCCATCGGCGACCGCGACTCGGCCTGCATCAGCTTGATTCCCAAGCGGAACAGACCGCCTGTCTTGTTGGATACCATCTCTAGGTAGTCGTCCTCAGTCGGGCAGGTGAGCGTGTCACGCCAGAAGAGGTCCATTCCCTGGCCCCGGTGCAGGTTGAGCAGTTCTTCAGAGAAAATGCTGACGGCTTTGGGGTTCTTGAGCTTTTGCAATTCTTGCAGCGCGTAGAAATACACGTAGTTGGACGTGTTGATGGTCTGCGGGATGCCGAAGATGGAGTGGGCGACGGGGAAGCCGCGGCGCAGGACGCTGTTGTCTTCTACGTCGTCGACGAGCAAGGAGGCTGTGTGTAGCATGCTGATGACTTTGGTGATCACCTCGAGGCTTTCGGACGGCACATCAAGCCAGGCGTTGAAGGCCTTGACCATCTGCGATCGGATGTCCTTGCCCGGGTGCCCGTTGAGATAGTCGTAAGGACCCGTCAGAACCTTCTCCTTCTCTTCGGACCAGGTGCGCCGCGAGGGGCTGAAGAAGTCTTCGGTCGCAAATCGGTCTGGGTTCGGGGGAGGCTGGGGCGGCTGGGGCGCCATTGTGTATGGCGAGAAGGAAGTTGGGAGCATGCTGGGGAGACTGATTTGGGCGACCGAGGCCTTGCGTTTACGGGTTTGCGCCTGCTGTGTTGCAGCTAGACCGGCAGGAGAGATCCGATTAGAGGGTATGGCAACGGAAATTGGTTGATTCGAAGAGGTCCTTGGAGGGATAATGGCGGATGGGAACTTGGTGTTGATGTTGAAGGGAGCAATGAAGTCCTCGTTGTTGGAGAGAAGGGAAAGCGGGGCGGGACCAGGTGAGGAGGAAGTCACGGCCATGGTGACGTGTTCCATTTCCTTTTTTATGTTTTATTATTGGAAACCCGTCGGTACTGGAGAGGATGCTAACCCCGTGCGTCGTCTGATCCAAAGTGGCCGGCGCTCTGGCTGGCTTCTTATAATTACTTGACGCGCTGTGTGACAACCGGAGGCAAGCTTCACGGTCTCGGGGGCAACATTCGATACCCGCACGCTATGACGATAATACCGCTTGACAGGTCGTGTGCCAATCGACAGCAATCGACCTCACTTTGCTATGAGAAGGGGGATTTGCCCTGCTTGCCTGCTGAGTGAACAAAGGCCAAGAGATCTGTATCTGGGGTCAGCAAAGACTGAATCACGCCGAGAAGAAGGCCTCTTTCTGCTCGGTTCCAGCAAAACTCGAGATTGCATCCCCCGATCTTGTCACATGCCAGCCATCGTCACTGAATGGATCCTCGGAAGCGATCTAGGGGCGGACAAATCAGATCAAGCTCGCTGTAGCGCTTTCCTCAGATCTGACCTGCCTGTCCTTTCCTTTCCCCTGGCAGTGGATGCAAGGTGATTGCAAGTGCGGAGACTTTTTGGGCGGCCGACGGAGGATATGTTTGTAAGAATGAAACCCCGACGACACCTGAAAGTAGCGTGGTGGGGTTTCAGATGCGGGGCGGGAGCTCTCACAGGGGACAAAAGAGCTTCACAACTGAAGATCGAACGGGCGATCCCGTCTCGCGCGCTCTTTGTCGGGAGCTCCCTGCTGAAACCGGCATCTTTTAGGGATGAAAACTGGGGGGGGTTTTCTTTCTCACCTTGTAGTTTGTGGAAGAGCGTGCAAATTTCTGCTGTGATGTTGTCTCTTCTTGTCAGGGCTTCAGATCGACATGAACAAACAGAGAATAACCAAGGATTGACGCGCTGTTGCTGGTAAGGGGCTCGTCAAAAATGGGTAGGTAACTGTAGGTGGTAAGAGATGTTGAACGAGATCGGCTGTTGTGGACCTTGCGCAAATTAGGGGTATTCCAGAAAAGCGGTCGAACGTGCAAGTTCAGTCCACTTCACGCATGCATATTGGGGATTCAAGACGATTTAGGAAAGGGGACGTCTGGACAATTTATATAGCACTTGATGGCAACGGATTCACGCACACACGCGGCGACTTTGTGCACGTCTGTCGGCGATGCAAGACTTGACACAGGAAAGCGCCGAGTGCATAGAGTGAAGATCATGGAAAAAGCCCCAGCTGCATGGGAAAGGCAAGATTCACGTGAAGACGGAGTACTGTGTAAAGGGCGCGATATCACCGTGATGACTTTGGTCTATGCCAGATATGTGAACCACGAGATGAGACATGGGCGGAGAAAGATTCCGAGCACATTTGAGAATGGTACTGCACGGAGTTGCAAGGCATGAAACTACCACTTCATTACTCCGCGCTGAACCATGATTCAAGATGGATCCGCAGATCGATCTCATCACACACTCCTCGTCCTCCCACGTACACTGGTGAGGCCGAAACATACATGCGTTTATCGACCATTTCGAGGCGTTGGTGGTTGATTTGTTGTTGTCTGGATGCCGTGTCGGAGGCCTGTTCGCCCGGGCTCTCTGGACGGTCCACCTCCAACTTATGCAAGGCGGGTGCGCGGCCGGGGGTGCCTGCCCTGCCCTGCCCTGCCCTGTGCAGCTGAGGCCTCGTTGCCGCCGTAGTCCCAGATTGTCCAGCGGGAAGCCCGAGGAAACATGCAGCAGCGTGCAGGGCCCGGGCCTCACACAACACAAAAGTCAACAACCCCACCTCACCTCTGCCCATCTGCCCACGTTCATTGTTCCTGTCACCCCGTGACGCGTGTACGCCTGTAACTGTTGTTTAGCGCCCGACAAGGTGTGCGCGCCGTGGTGTCAACTCCGTTCCGGTTGCTGTGGCATTCGGCTTCGGGCAGCTCTGGCGGCCTGGGCGGGCAGCAGCAAGGGACAGCTTCTTCGTCCAGTTGGTCGGGTTGTTGCAACTTGAAGGAAAAAAAAAAAAAAAAAAAAAAAAAAAAAAAAAAAAAAAAAAAAAAAAAAAAAAACTAGGTACCAGTCCAACGCACATGGTCAGATGGGATAACCTGGGAAGCCGCAATTTTTTTACCTCCTTTCTGTGTTCTGACCTTCTTCCCTTTTTTTGTTTACATACCATTTATTTATTTTTCTCTTCGGTTCTCTCTTCTGCAACTCTCCAGCCCGTACGCCTAGCGGCCCCCTAAAGCAATCTGAGGTCAGGTAGCGCACGGCTCCTCCCTCCAAATCCCTGGACCTTCGTGGCAGCGGCGCCATCACGCTCGTACAAACGGACCAATTCGCATCTTGCGGTCAACATCGCCGGATCCACTTCCGCTTCAGGTCCTCGTTCTCAGGCCCAGTCCCAGTCCCAGTCGTCTGGTGACCCCCTGTCTGCGCGCACACGCGTGGATGTCAGAGTGCCATTTGACTTCCAGTTTTGCATCAGAACATCCCGTCCGATCCTCTAGCCCTTGCGCCAACTGAACCCCTTCCGCGGCGGCGCATTTGGGGGGACATGTACGTCCATCTTGCTCTTAAATTCTACCATTGTTTTTCTCAATAGCATCTCTCTCTCTCGACTTCGACTTATTTCGTATCTCAACATACCTATTTGTCTACCATCCACTAGACGCCAAACCGGGAACGACCAGCGCCAAGAGCCCTTTCCCCTGCTATCACTTCTCTTCTGCCCTGAAGATCTTCGGCGCAGGGGTTGCCGGTCGCAAAATTACATCATAGACGATTGGGCGCTGCCCATCTTATTCCTTTCCAAGTATCATCGTCGTCAATCCATCGGACATTTTCAGCAACCTGTCTCCGAATTCAAAACCCAACCACAAACACAACAGACTCCGATCACAACATATACAGATCAAGTCAACTATGGAGTCCCTACTATCGCTCGCTTTCGACAACCTCTCGGCCTTTGAGCCGGCAAAGATCAAGAAGGGTCTAAAACAGGTCGAGGGCTTGCTCGCCCAGATATGCTTATCGGGCCCGGCCAAGAGGGAACTAGATGCGGCTGCGGCCGGGGAACAACCACAACTACAGCGCAAGGGCCTAGGCGACCTTGCTGGCGACCCAGCGTTTCGCGAGTTCTTCAAGTTGCAGGAGGGTTTCGAATGGAACGTCGCCCAGCGGCTGCTTACAACGCTCGACTTTCTGGTGGCCCGAGGCGGCGACGGGCAGTATGACTTGCTTATCCTCAATGCTCTGGACCTGATCCAGGGTGTTCTCCTTCTACATCCACCCAGCAAGGTGCTCTTTTCGAGGGCTGCGCACATGAACGTAAGTTGACGAGCAACAAACACACAAAGAAGGCCATCCATGAACTTTGCTAAACCTATCTTCCCCAAAATCCAGCTCCTTCTCGACCTAATAGAACCCGTCAACACCCCCGCCATCCAATGCGCAACCATCATCACCCTTGTCGTTGCCCTCCTCGACTCACCCGCCAACGTGCGCGTCTTTGAGCGTCTTGACGGTCTCCTGACCGTTGCGTCCCTTTTCAAAAGCAGAGAAACCGGCCGCGAAGTCAAGTTTCGCTTGACCGAGTTCCTATATTTCTATCTCACCCCCGAAGCTCCATCTGCATCAATGGCGTCTTCACCAGTATTATCGTCAACACCCACATCACCGACAAGGGACAGGGCTGGTAGCGATACAGCTAGTCAGCAAGGCAAAGGGAGCAAGGCCAACGGAGGCGTCACGCTGTCGGTAGATGTCAAGAAGAGAAAGCTTGATCAACATCTCCCCGGGGTCGTTGATGCCTTGCTGAGGGACTTGGATCGGTATAAGCCGTTTGGGGGTGTGTTGAGCTGAGTGGTTGGTTGTTGTCGACCTTTCACGAGTCTTTTTTTTTTTTTTTTTCGTTTCACTTCTTTCTCTTCTTCATTTTCTTTTCTTCATTGGCTTGCCTTCTTATTATCGGTTTGGCTGGTAGAGCGTAGCGTTTGATACCTTGTGCGAAATGGATTTGGGAGACGATGGGGTTGTGCGATCTGGCTGTCTGGGAATTCAAGGAACGATTGGCTTATATCTATCTTTCTCCGAGTTGATGGATGCTCTTGGTATTTCCTGGGATGATACCACTGGGGCCAAAGAGGGAAAACACGGTTACATGTCAGGGCTTACTTACTATACCTATACCTTATTGTGTTGCATTAGTATGGTAATGTTTTTACATGTTGGTAGGGGCAAAGGCGGGTGTTCAAGGGACTTGGTGCCTTGCGGAAAAGGGGCGGCTTTGTAAAAAGACTGGTAACAATGAAGAACACACTGGGCATTTCTGGTAGAATACAATATACCCCTTCCGCATGTTCAAGCTGTTTGACAAGCTATAGCGCAGTGAAGCAAAGGTCCATCATCTCAGGTCCATCAATCCAGTCGTTCCTATAGTTATTACAACCAGCAGCCGCAAAGGGTACCCACCAAGACGACCACCACTAATTGGACGCCGCATTGACATTCTTCCTCTTCACCATCCTCACCCACCTTCGCCTCCGCCAACGTCCCCTCCGACCCATTCCCTCCTCCCCTTCCTCCCAACTGATCGTGGGTCCAATCTTGGGCGTATACCGACTCTGATCTTGACTCCTGACCGGTGTCTCGTAATCCCCATCCCCCAACGCCGCCCCCAGGTCACCATTGTCACTGCCATTCATGCCATTCTCATGCTCATTATAGATATCATACACCCACCTCTCCCCTTCCGTCTCGACCTCAACCCCAGTGATAATCCTTTCTTCCACCCACTCCCTGCTCCAGAGATCCAACGCCCACTTCTTCCCGCTCCACTCCCACCCCTCAGGCGGCAAAACATCCTCAAAGAAGCGCGTCCCCGTCGGCCGGTCGCCCGCAATCCGCGCCGCAGATAGGGGGTCGTACGGCGACGGGCTGAATAACCACGGCTCCCACTCGCCGCTGGTGTCGCTGAGGCGCTGCAGCTCAAAGATCTCCACCTCGCGCGTCTCGGGTGCGTCGTCCAGGATGATATCCGAGCGGACCCAGGCGTCGAAGGCGCGTTCGGCTGCTAACGATGAATCAGGGCTGGGACCGGGCGGATGGTTCTGTATCTGTTCCAGTTTCTTATCGTTGTCGTGCACGGCCTGCACCGTCGCGCTCGGTTCTTTTTCTCCTCCTAGATACTGCGCCTGCCACTCACCAATCAGTCGGGAAACGGTGGGGTGGTTGGACGAGATGGCGAGCCAGCCGGCGACCAGACAGATATAACGCCAGGGAATCAGGTGGGCGGTGACGGTCATGAGGGCGCATGCGCCGCAGAGCAAAACGAAAATGGCGGACGACAAAGCCTCGTCCGAGAAGTTGGTTTTGGGGACCACCAAAGCAATGATCTTGTCGTGGGCGACGCTGTAGTCGTCCATAACGTTCTGCAAGTCGCCAAGGTTGCGGAAGAAGTCGCGCGATAGCTCCTTGGTCGGCTTGAACGTGCGCGGGGGTGCCAGGGGCGGGCCGCGAGGGGAGTAGCCCAGGTTGCGCACCGCGTGCGCTTCGGAGGAGGAGGCGGGGGCTGGGTGTCGTGCGATGAAGGAGGGGACGAAGATGCCGAATAAGGCGATGGCGAGCGGGAGAACGAAGATCAAGTAGGGGTCTAGGCAGACGAAGGTGTAGACGGCTAGTAGGGACAAGGTGTGCGTGGGCCGTCGCCATGACAGCACGCGCAAGGCTTTGGCTTGGAATTTGAAGACAACCCCGATACGCGCGTTGAAACGTCGAAAGTTGTTGGACATGGCGCCTACCGTGAAGCCTGGTCGTTCGCCGAAGGCCGAGGGTTCGTTGGCCCCGCCGGGCTCGCCGCTGCCGTGAGGTTGGCCATCGTCTACGGGGATGACTTGGGCGAGGAGTCTGGTTTGTACTCAGATTAGTAACCGCAGTACTGGTAAAAGGTTGAGCTAGAGAGCGAGTACTTCTCCAGAAGCTTGTCTTGCAAGTTGGCTGCCTTGAGAATCCCCTGTCGCAATGTCCGGGCCGTGGTGGTCGAGTCGGTGCCGGAGCCGGAGCCCTGTTGGCCGTCATCCTCCTCCTGGATCGAGGCGTCATCCCCCTGACCGAGAAAGGCAGCAGTCAAGTCGTCCATGGCTAGATATCACAGCGGTTTTGGCCCGTTATGATTCCGAGAATCTCATTTTTCTCCTCAACTGCCGGAAGCCAACGGCTCTCAAGTGTAAATGTTCCACCTTCGTCTCTTTCTTTGGTCGCTTAATCACATGCACCAGTCAGACTGGATTCATTGCAGCCTGAGAGGAAGAAAGGGAATTCAAGGGCTATGAAGGGGCTGTTCAAGAAGGGCGCAAGCGTAGGTTTGGATGTATATGCGACGATGATGATGATGACGGAATGCCGTGCGAGGTGAGTGAGGAGCTAGGTATGCATCCACCGGTATGCGAACTGCAGGGGTGATATCGCTGTTATCATCTGCTAACGCAGCCTCGTGTAGCAGGCGTCGCCAATTGGGCTATTATAGTATAACATTCCCACCAAACCAAGGCGCAAAAGCGAAGCATCCTGGATGTAATCAGAGCGTGTGTTAGTGCTTGCAGCAATCCTTAACAGTCCAGATTTGCGCTCGGGGACGTTCGTCCATGGACAGAAGAACCTCTGAGCCATACATAACGGGATCCAATCCTTTGGTCTGCCAGATGTTTTGACCAATCTTGCAACCTACCCTATCTGGGGTGACGCTGCCTGTGGCAGACACGAGACGTCATTTTCATCCGTGTTCTCTGCCAAACCCTAGAAACTCAAGGTGAGATATCATTTGTCGGCGGCGCAAGCTGTGATCACCCAGGACGATGGCACAGACTTCTCAACGATATTTGACGACAATAAGGCATTGGAGTGGGTGTGGTGTGAGGTAGGGGACGGACCCTGCGTAGAATTAGTTCAAGCTTTCATCACTCCCGGTTCCTGGGAGCAACCCACCCCTTTGGAGCTCGATATGGAAAAGAAGAAGAAAACGTGATTACGGATTGATAAGTGCTTGCCCCGCATCCAACACCAACAGCCTTTGAATCTTGAGACTTTTGCTGCGATCACATCTCGATCGTGCGGGCTTCAGCCAAGCCGGAAGGGGCCTCCGTTGTGATCCTCGTTGGCATCAAGATCAAGGGGTTTGCTGTACAGATCAACCCTTGAGAGTTTGTTAGCGCGAGACTTGCAGCGTCTTCGAACATGGGAGAGAATATCTATATAGACTTTTGGCCCTCCTATTGGCCTAAACCACGCCAGAACATGCAACCAAAAGTTGACACCATCCACAGCGGGTGCTATTCAGGTCAGAAATACCACCTCACCAGCCTGAAAATGGTGAAATAGCGCTCTTCAAGTACCGAGCTAACGAGTTTTCTAGGGGTGATGTGATGTGTATGGACGTCCATGTCACATTCGCATATTTTTTTCTACTCAACCGTGCCAACATCTTGCCCGTTCTACACGCATCGATGGCATCGACACGAGTAATGAAAGGCGATTTGTGACCGGGAACGGCGGTATCAAAAGAGGTTCGAGGAAAACAGAAATGAAACGGGGACAACCCTGCCGTTTCAAGTCACCAAACCCCATTCTGTCAAATCTAGATTCAATGTACCACGTAGTTCGGCATTGACGTTCATCTGCCGGATGAGATTGAAAATTACTCGGACCTACAGTAAGGTGAGGGGACCTTGCATGTTATGTGTCCATGGCTCTTGGAGGCACAAGTATATTCTTTTTCCTCAAATCTATTGTTTTTCATTTGAAGCAAGGACAAGTATACTACACGGTTGACGCAAGGGAGCAATGAGCACCAAAACTCACACTACTTCTTGTTAATGGCGGTCCCTGGAGCCTCAACGTTGACGCTGCTCTCCAGGAGCCACTTCTAATTCCAAAACAAAGAGGATAGGCAAATGAATTTATTGGCTATCCGGAAGCACATTGTTGTTGCTCGTCCTGGCCACGACTCTTCACTAATATCGCCGCCGCCAGGATCCCCCTTGGAACAACACCTCAAATTTGAGTGTACCTGAGCTGGTTCCCGTGTTGGCCTTGGCGTCCCCGTCACCTTTCAGACGACAGTCTGCCGAGAGCGTCGTGCATTGGGATTCCCAAAGTCTTTGAACGAAAACGAGAAGCTGGGAGATTTGTGACCGTTCTACTCTAGGTGCAGGGGCACTTTCGTTTCTCCTATCTCTGTTGAAATGATTGTGGATGCCGTTTGAGTGTGGATATTAAGGCCTTGCGGGGAGAAAGAGGGGAAGGCGTTGGGTTAGATCGATGCATATGTACATCTTTTCCATCGATTGTTCTGAATGAGGAGTTCCCGCTTCGGCTTTCTCCTTTTTTTTTCTCTTTTTTTTTTTTTTTTTTTTTTTTTTTTTTTTTTTTTTTTTTTTTTTTTTTTTTTTTTTTCCTTCCTGCGACTTTCTGTCCCCACAAAACATTCCCCTGAGCAGTTGCTGAGCTGGAGCAACCTCAATTCACCAAGCGCGGGTAGCGACAAGGGCAAAACATGTTCTAGGGCATTTTGTTCGTTTCTACAAACCGTGGCCCATACACGCACCTACCCAGGCAGTTCACGCATGGCGAGTTACGCAGCAGCGGCATCACAGGGACTTGAGTCCTTCATAGTGTCAGGTATGTTGTGCTGTAAATAAGGTGGAGGCTTCTTGCAGCTGGTTGACCCGGTGGCCGATGCCTCGCCAATGTCCCAACCTACTGCTCTCTACCTACCTACCTAGGTAATGTTTAGTGGCTGCTTCATGGTGGCTGCCACCTGCCGGCCAGCAGCCGCTTGATGTCACGGCACAGGTTCTTGATGTTCCATGTTGTTCAACGGAATGTTGTCAGGCGGGGCTAACCATCCTGCCCGCTATCCCGTCGTCAAGGGCGGAGAACCTCAAGGACATCACACACTTGCGCTGAACTGCATCCAGTCAACACCATCCATGGGAAGGACTATGTCCAGTGCCTTGCGTGCCGTGTGTGTGGTGCGCTTCAAGTTCCAATGAGGTCGGGTCAGGTCCTGCCTACCTGTGAGTGAGAGCGCACCCCCGGCAAGGCGAAACCAGGCTAGTCCGTAGAGAATGGTGTAGCGGCCCGGTAGCACCACACAGCACAGAGGGCAGAAATCCTTGCCAGGTCATTAGCACAGGCCCCAGGGCAAGCAAGGCAACAAAACCAATTTTCCACTTTGTCTTCCATCCCATTGTTGCTGAGGTCCCCATTGCTAGTACTGTTCATCAAACAACTTGAAGCGAACGACGGCCGGCTGCTGTGTCTCGAACACGCTCGACGGCGGCGACGACGACTTCCACCGCGTCCCCGGAATGAGGTAGCCTCGATATCCTTCTCAGCTCCTTGGCCGGACTGAGCCCTTTGACGAAAGAGAGACGGAGAGAGAGATAGAGAGAAAGAAAGAGAGACAGTCTCGCTGATCTGGGCAATGGTAGAGCCCTCTCGCGTCGTCCTCCCACCCACACCCGCATTGGCTGTCGACGACTGGGACCTAGGCTCGACGTCGAATCGACGACTCGAACTGCAAAGGACAGGATTCCTCAACAGCAGTGGAGAGAACTGAAGCGAACGCACCAACCATCTGAATCCCAAAAGAGTGGAACAAACACCATTATCACCACCGTCCACCGCACCACGACAAAGCGCCATAATCTCCCGTACCGCCCTTCACGCCTACACGCACGCTGCTGCTGCTGCACGCCGCACGCTGCACGCCGGCCAAGAAAAGGTACTAAAACTCTGAAGCAGACAGACCGCCTCGCGATCCTGTCGCCGGTCTGCCGGTCTTGCCTTGCCTTGCCTTGTCCCCCCGTCAGCACTCAGCACTCAGCCCTTTCCTAGCACGAGCAAGAGGCTCCGTCCCGTTCCCTGTTGTGGTCGCGGTTGCCGTATGCCGTATACCGCGGCCCTGTCGTCCTGACGTCTCCGCTCATTGAGGCCCGCCTCGCGCTGCGTGACTCCATAACCACCGGCCACACGGCTCCATTCCCTCCATGAACAATAGGGAGCGGCACGTCCCCGCTGGCCCCAGAGGGGAAACCCAGTCACCCACCAGGTTGTTCCCGTTCTTGTCCTCATCTTCCCAAGTGCTACTCTCTTTTGCATCGCGCCCAGTGGTGGCTCCCGCCGCAAGTTCCTTCCGTGTTTTTGATCCAGACCAGCTAACATTGGCTCATCTTTTCTGCACAGGCGCAAGGAAAACTCCAGTCCCTTCAAAATTAACGCTTTCCGTCGACCTACCGAGGATCCTCCGATGCTGAGCGCCTCCTCGTCCAACAACCATTCATTGTTCTCCTTTGGCAGCCGGAATGGTAACGAAGACGGATCATCGACAAACACAGCATTCGAATTCTTGCCCTCGGTGAGCTTCGACGATCTTCAGAGCAGCCTCGAGTCGGCCTCAACCGTTTCAAAGCTGGTCCACTACTCAACACCACCTGGTCAAAATTCTTCACCCGAAAGCATGGGGAGCCATTCCGACATCTCCATCAATGCCACCGGCGCGAGAGTCGCGGTCCAGCAGCCGGCTCCGACGCGGACCGCCAGAAGCGGGTCAATTTTGAGAAGACCTAGTATAACAAATGGCACAAGTAGACAGGCAGGCTTAGGGACAACAGCATCCAACACTTCGGGTGTTACGACTCCTACCGCTCCGGCCGCCATCCGCACCCGTCGTCCGAACCATTACCCCCCAGTTTCAAGTACGAACAATACGATGAAAGCTCCCAGGCGGTCGGCTGGATCTGACGTGCTCGGTAACTCGGATGCGGAGGCACGAAGACGAAGGCCAAGTGTCGCCTCACTCGGGGAGCGAAATGGAACAGAGCCGGTACGCACGTCAGTGTCCGTAGACGGAGGGCCCCGTCCCATGCCCGAGTCAACGCGAACTTCCAAGGCGAGATCTGTGCAACCACCGCCCCGGGGCAGCGATGGTGCTACACTAGCCCACGACTTGAGCGCCCTTAGCTTGGGTTCCGGTAGCTCACCTGTGACATTTCCACGCTCCCCGAAGACGGCGGTCAAGGCGCCAGTTCCATCCTCGACCAAGAGGATATCTGTTATGCCTGGTGTTCCTCATACTTCACATGCAACAGGCTTAGGCGCCAGGACGGTCAGCCCGACGGATACGAAATTGATGAAGCGGATGTCCCATAACCAACCCTCCCAAGCGCCAGCTCCAGTGCCAACAGCTCCGATGCCATTAGCTACATCACGTCCTTCGTCTCGTTCTCCATCCATGTTGCCGCGCAAGATCCCAACGCCAGCTTCCTCTCGGACTACCCCGGACGTGAGCATCAGAAAATCCTACAGCTCGGGTCTTTCGGCTGCGTCAGCAAATAGCTATAATACCGTTCGATCATCGACTGGCTCTATGCAACCGCGTGTCCCGCAAAGCGGCAACACTAGGCTACCTGCTCCCAAGGGTGTGCCTCCGCAGAATACGGCGAACGGCGAGGAAGAGGAAGAGGTCCCCCCAGTTCCAGCAATACCAAAGCTGTACGACTCGCCCGGGGAACTGTCGTTTTTGGACAAGCGCAAGTCCAATAGAGCATTTGATACGAGTAGCATCAATAGCACTTCTACAGGGAGCGTATCTGGGGCACAGCTGACTGACCCACCGCCTGCTAAGCTGCAACGCAAACCGAGCCAACGAAAGTCCGTACACACTTCGACTGTGGACAAGAAGTCCTCTTCCGCAAACTCAAAGAAAAACCTGCAGCCTCTTCGTCTGCCCCCTCTTGCTCTAGGACCGTTGAGCACTACAACTGCTGCCAAAATTGCGGCGCTTCAGGAGCAGAATGCATCAGACAGGAGTCTTTCTCCTTCTCCTGGCAGGCAGATTGCAAAGACGCCGTCGACGCCCATGACCGCGTCAAGAAGCGCCTACTTCACCACAACGCGAAATGAGGATAAGCCTACAGTGCAGCATCTCAGGAGTACAAGCACAATTAATCGAGGAAAGGGCGGTAGTATGGACTCCTACAGCTCAAACGAGTCAATGGGGGGAGTGGTGTCGAATGTGATGCCACAGTCTGGAATGTCGCCATATATCTTGTCTTCTGCGGTAAAAGGGGGGAATCAGGAGCCGACATACTCCAATCGACCAAAAACAGGGGATCCCGATGCATCTGTTCCAACCCAGAAACCCTCTGGACCGCGAGCCCCGAAGCCTGCTGCCGCAAAGTCATCAACCGCGAAATCACCACCACCTCCCACTGACCCGGAAGAGCCACCAACTCCATCGTCAATTGGCACCTCTATCAGACGGAAATTGAGTCTATCATGGAAACGAAGTGCATCCAAGAACGGCAACAATCGGCCTGAAAAGGTAGATTCAAACAGTGTCAGACATGATTCTATGCCACCCCCAAGGATCCCGATATCGGCGACATTGGGTAGCATGCCTTCAACCACGAAAGCCCCAAGCCCGACGCCTTCATCAAAATCGAATGGAACCGCGACATACTTGGAGTCTAGGAGACGGAAGAGCTCAGCCTCGAGCCTCAACGCCAATGTTGCAGGGGACCGTCATCGTGGCGAGGCGGCGGCAGGCAAGAAGGAATCTAGTCTAGACACGGTGGCAGAGCGATCGATTCATACGTATAGCTCGGCGCAAAAGATTCTCAAGCCGAAGAGTTCAGGTGCGACTCTGAGCCAACCCCGTGACGTCTGGACGGCCGATCTCGACAAGGATGATATGGTGGCCGAGGAAGAGATGAAGAAACTCGGGTCGCGGCGTAAGGAGACGGAAATGGCGGCTCGGACGCTCGATGCCTTGCGCAAGCGTGCTACTGCCAAGGAACGCGTTGGTCCTCAGGAAGCCCTTAGGATTGCCGTTCTAAACATTTACGAACGCGGCGAAATTGTGGATTATAAAGACGTCTACTTTTGCGGTACTCAGAATGCGGCCAAGGTGGTTGGTAACGTTCAATCAGACCTTCCCAACTTTGGGTACGATGATGAGCGAGGAGACTACTCGATTATTATCGGCGATCATCTTGCATACAGATATGAAATCATTGATGTTCTTGGAAAGGGTAGCTTCGGGCAGGTTGTTCGATGCATCGATCATAAGACTGGCGTCCTTGTGGCCGTCAAAATTATCCGGAACAAGAAGCGGTTCCACCAGCAGGCTCTTGTGGAAGTCAATATCCTGCAGAAGCTTCGCGAATGGGTAAGTTTCTTGTTGAAGGTTCATCCTATCCTTACTTCTTTGTTCGCTAACAAGTAAACTTCCAGGACCCCAAAAATAAGCACAGCATGGTCAATTTCACCCACAGCTTCTATTTCCGTGGGCATCTCTGCATTTCCACCGAGCTACTTGACATGAATCTTTACGAGTTCATCAAGTCCAACGCTTTCCGGGGCTTCTCACTCAAGTTGATTCGGCGGTTCACTAAACAAATGCTCAGCTCACTGCTTCTGCTCAAGCAACACAAGGTCATTCATTGCGACTTGAAGCCAGAAAACATCCTTCTGCGACACCCTCTACACTCGGAGATCAAGGTCATTGATTTTGGTTCCAGCTGTTTCGAAAACGAGAAGGTTTATACTTACATTCAGTCACGCTTTTACCGATCCCCTGAGGTTATCCTGGGTATGACCTATGGCCTTCCCATTGATATGTGGTCGCTAGGCTGCATTCTGGCGGAACTCTTCACTGGAGTTCCCATTTTCCCTGGTGAGAACGAGCAGGAACAGCTGGCATGCATCATGGAAGTATTCGGGCCTCCGGAGAAGCACCTCATTGAAAAGTCAACACGCAAGAAACTCTTCTTCGATAGCTCTGGCAAGCCGCGTCTTACCGTCTCCTCGAAGGGTCGCCGCCGCCGCCCCTCTTCCAAGACTTTGCAGCAGGTTCTCAAGTGCGATGATCAACCATTCTTGGATTTCATTGCTCGATGCCTCAGGTGGGATCCGGATAGAAGAATGAAGCCAGAAGAAGCCGTACGACATGAGTTCATCACCGGACAGAAGACTCCGCCCTCATCTTCCATGCCAGTGCCACGCCTTGCATCGACGCGGGAATCATCCCCAAGCAAGCGTGTACAGAATCTGAACGGAGGACCTCGGCCGCTGCCGGAGCCGCCGGCCGCCGCTGTCACTACCAGAACCTCACTGCGGTCAGGAGTCGTCAGTTCTGGTATGCCTCAGGGTCCTTTGAAACCCACTCTTGCTAGTGGTATTTTGCCTTCCTCGCGTAAGGTCTCTGGCATGACGGCTTCGGCTAGTGGGGCAACGTCTGGCGTGAAAAGAGCAAGTGGAGGTACAACTGGCTCAACAGCTGGCGGTTTCAACTCCGGAAATGTTGGTTCCAATGGGAGCAGTCTACCGCGAGCGGCGATTCGTACCACGAGTGCCCGGCAGCAACAGCAACAAGATCTCGCAGCCGCAGGGGCCACAGCAGCCATGATGAGCCGCAGGGCCTAGGAGGAACGATGGGCTAGAAGGGTTCGACTGGGTATAGGAAGGACATGGGCGCCGGAAATGGCGAATGTTGTGATGAAGCGAGAAGTGTTGGGTGCTTATCAAAAAGTCTCATACGGGTAAGAGAGGGGTGACGGTCACGGTGTGGGAATTTTTATAGTTTTCGGGTAGGGGATGCTAAGTGTCGAACGATACGGTACGAACGAACAAACGAACGAACGGGACGAAAGCGAGCATGGCGTCGAACCTGATTTCTTTCTTTTTCGATTTTTTTTTTTTTTTTTTTTTTTTTTTTTTTCAAATGAGTTGTGAACCTCTTTTTCGAAAGGTGCAGTCATTGTTTTTCTTCTCGTTTGCTTCTTTCTCCTCCTGTGCATCGTGCATCATCATCATCATCGTTTGTCATCATTGTCATCATCGTCAACATCATCATCATAGTACGGTTGGTGTCTGCATGGGGATAAAAAGTAAAGACGTGTGTGTCCATCATATCATTCGTTTTATGTGTGTATAACTTACTTCACCCTCTCTTCACGGCGTTACAATTGTGGTATTGTATTGGAAGTGTGGTTCAGAAAGAAGGTATAGAGGTGTCTATAAATTTTTGGGTGATAAAGGGGGCGCTTGTTGGGAATGTGATGACTGAACGGTGGATATATCGAAGCGGCTCTAGCTCCGCGGGAAAAAGAAAGAGATGAGAAACTGGTGCAGTGATGACGAGGTCCAGAACAAGAGATAATCACAAGTCATCAATCATTCAATATCTCATCCTTCCTCAAAGTGGTTCGCAATGTTCACATTTGCTCGGTGTTCACTTTAACACTCGCCATTCAAGCATGACCACCTTTTTCTTTCACCTTTCCATACGCGCAGGTAACATGGGCATGCAGGTAATAGAGTATGTGTGTACCGAAAGTTACATTCGCCTTGGTGTGTCACTGCCTGTGTGTTATTCCCAGTCAAACTATTTCGCTACTGTTGATATAGACACATATACTATGATCGTCGTAGCTGTCGTTATGGCCACCTCGATCCATCTCATCACAACGAACCTTTGACTGTCTCTCTTCAAAAACAAGCCCTGGACAATGCTGCAGGGAAGAGTCAAACTCAACCACCCTCCCTCAGAGGAATAAAGTGAAGTGGTTAGTAGCCGAGGTACGCCCGTCTCAGCCACTGCTTTGCCGGCCGGACAGTCCGGTAGAAAGTAATAATAATCCTGAAAATGGCGGCAAGCCACCAGTTAAACATCGTGACAGTGTGTGTTGCCCAATAGTGGTGGTGGCGGCGTGGATAGTGGCACGGCTACCATACCTACACACGCATGCATGTCTACACATCCATACGTAGATTGTATGTATCTTTTCCCTTTGCGTGGTCTGGTCTGCGGCGGCATGCAGAGTCACAAAGAACTTGAGGTACATATTTTACTTGACATACGTACACGACAGAGATTGACACCACAGGCCCACAGACTACCTACCTACCTCTAGGTAGGCACGGAGATGAGATGGGAAGGTAAAGAGAAAGGGCACGATTGCGGCACTGTGACGGCTAACGCAGGGGCACTTGATAAAGGGCCGATATGGTAGGTGAGAAGTTGAATCTGAGAGGGAGAGGTAAGAGAAGGAGTCGCGGGCATTCCGTCACTTCGATAGACTTGGTAACAGGGCTTATATTGGGCACGGAGACATAGAGTGAGTATTACTGGTTAAAGCGGATCGGCCCGTTGGTCCTGACCTCGAGGAAACGTCATTCATCTGAGTATAGTCTGTATTTCTGGTCCCCTTGGGGATGCATGGAGTTAATTAGGCGTAGATATCAAGAGGATTGTGAGTTGATGGCTGAGATGGGTATTTAGTCACGCCCATGTCAAACAAGAGAAGACTGACTCCGTTCGGTGTTCCCAGTGCATACATACGTTTGATTTCTCCGATATCCTCATAGCATCGAACAGGCATTTTGCAAGCCTCTACCGGACTAGATCAGCCAGTGAGTAACTCTCGTTCAGTGCAATCTTTTCTCATATAGTGAATGGCGCCTCACTCTTCGCTTCTCCTCCCTCTCCCTCTCTAGGCCTTATATGTGCCCAAACACTTTCTCAGATTGCTTACTCAAACGTATGCCACAGATACGCAACAATAATGTTTGATGATGCCTAGGTCTAGACGAAAGTCGTGGTTTATGCAGACTTTGTCTGCTTACTTACGCCCAGGCCATAGGGACATGCGACGGCCTGTGATTTTACTCTGTGTAAGTCAAATAGGCACTTGTTCCTCAAAACAGCCTCACAACCACTGGACGATCCTGGAAAATGGGGGCCGAGGCAGGACGGGGGCCGAGCGCTGAGATCGAGTCAGACTTTCGGGGAATGAGTAAGAGCCAAGACTCTCTGAGGCAAAAAGCCATCATGCGTAGTATGTGGAAGTTGATGTGTGAGGTGAGGTTTGCGCGGTATGACGATGCCATCAATCGATCATACCATATAGGGTCTTTTTCGCGGGGGGCATTAAATCACCGTTGACATTGATCAATCAGTTACGGCTACTTGACGTTGCAGGAAGGGTATTGAGTGATTTTGGGGGACTTCTTGTTGAATGTCAATTGTATGGCAGACCGTTCGCAATATAGGAACTTACGACGCAGTTATTTTGAGATAAACTGTCAAGGTTCGAGTCGATCGCAGGGCTACAATGCTTGTCTTTGGTTCTTTTTCCCGAGGGCGTCAGCCTTTGAGGACTTCCATCCCAACACCTGGCCAGGAATGAAGAAAGGTACATAGGGGTATGAGGGGGGATGAACTACCTGAAGATGACCAGCGAGCGTTCAGCTTCAGGCACCGTCATCAACAACCGGCGCGTATGCTGGAGTGACTGTCCGCCGGCAGTGGTGATAATGGTGATTTTGGGTGTTACTCGGCACAGAGAGTATCGGGAGGGTGCTGGATAATTCAGCAGTTGTTTTTCACAAAGAAAGGAAGATAGACTTCATGTGGGAGGTCCGTCGTCCATCCCGTTGGAGCCAGGTTCGCAGGTAAAGTGGGGCTCTCCGCCGCATGTGGGGCCCATCCTTCCGGTTCGGGCTCCCGGAGGATACCATGGAGCTTCCGCTTCTGCCTGGAGGAAGCCGGATGGGGGCCGGAACTGGACTGGGGGTGTCTTGAAGTTTAATCTTGTGTCCGTGTCGGTGCCATTCGTAGTGCCCCACTGTTCGTCGCTCAGTAGTGTAGAGATAGCGGACAAGGAATAGGATCCAGCCCTTTCGATGACGGCCAATGGTCGACCGACCGTTCACCTTCATGCCAACGGTGGACGATCAACGGCATCTCCGTACTGACCCGGATTCTCCCCCAGGGTATTAGATATCGATTCAACAGTTTATTCGTCTTGAACCCGGAATGAGGGGCTGTGACCTTAAGACTTGGGAGAAAATGATGTCGGGACCGTGATCCGCAAGATATCTTGGCAACTGATTGGTGGCATCTTGTCAGCTGTTTGAGGCGGTGCTTGGACGAATGTGGTTATCCATCTCTGCTCTCACTGGTTTTGAAATCTCACGGTCAGTCACCGATCACTTGCGAACTCTCTCGGGACCTTTTGACGTCTTTGGACTGTGGATAGAAATCGGATGGGTTGGGCGGGAATCAAAGCGATTGGTTGTCTAGCGAGACATTGTTTGCAAATCCCCACTTGTACATCACAGGTTCTTGGCGCTAGGGTTGTTGGGGACAGAAGCCAGGGCCATCTGTTCCTCTGTCATTTGTCTCAAGGATAAGAAACTCACACTAGACATGCATCATGGTCTGCGACATCCTTGATGCACGTCACAAGGCTGAAAAGAGGGTGGGAGGGCTGCCTCAGGCTTGGGACGGCCTATGTGGTGATACCTTCACCATGTAAGGCCAGAGACAGGGGGCGGGAATCTGTTTACGGACTTGACCTCGGTCCTTCTGTTGATGACCGCAAATGCAGGACAATCCGCATAATGTCAGATGGTGGCCCTTCCTGATATTCGTTGACTGAGCAGTTGTATGTATAGCCGTAGGGCTGGTGTTATGCAGGAACAGGAAGGTGAATCGCTGCTGCGGCTTGCGCCGTGCAGAATGCAGTCTGCAGCAGTTCATGCCAATGTCACGAGCCAGACACGGTACCGGGTCACCGGTTTCGATTCTTAGTCGACGGAGAGATGCCTCGTAAAGGGTGCCTTATGGTCACGAGTTTCACATTCGGAAGCCACCGGGATCGACTCGGTGTGGAATCCGGGCAACGACAGTCGGGTTGGAGCCTACATGCACCCGGTGAGACGGTGACCAATGGCGGGCGGCTCCGTTACGGTCGAAATCGTGGAAATCGACGGGAAGAGACGAGATAGGGAAGTCGACGAATTATGTGGAAGGGACCTGCATAGAACTTTCTATGACACATATGTTTCCTACGATGATCTTGTTGGAAAAACGATGTGTGTGATTTGGAATTCCAACAGTGGTAGAGGCGGTTGGTTAATCTCTGTTAAAGTCCATGTTAGCGGGCCAAGCACTAGTCTGGGAGGGTTAGGTGTGTGTTTTACCACTATCGGCCACTAATGATGCACCGCATCAGAAGGGACAAGCATTGGCCAGTTATTGGGCGAGATACGGTTTCTCCTTGGCTGCCTGCAGGTCATGACAGAAAAAAGTCTACGCCATATTGTGAGGTCCTTCTAGAACTCTGGTGCTATGATCAGGATCCTGCCTATGGGAAAAGGCTCATCGTTGAACCCCGTTCACGGGAAGCCAAGTCAACCTTGCTATTGCGGATGAAGGGCTCAATATGTTTCAGAGTCCGGCCTACATGCAGTCATACCGACCTGGACGGAAGATCATGACTCCCCGTAGGTAAGCGCCGGAGGTTGTAGGGCAAGGAGTGGAGACTGGTCGGGACGGATCCATTATGTATACTATTGCGCATTCCTTAGGTTCATGGGTGTAGATCAGGATTCTGGAGCAAGTGTGGGTGAAGGCTATTTCACGGTGATCTGGGGAAGGTGTTTTCAACGTCTTGATGTCGTTAAACGATTGGTTGGTGCGACGTACCGTACCCA